GAGGCCTCGCCGCCCGCAGCGGGCCCGGGGGCGGCCGCCTCCTGCTCGGGCGCCGGCGCGGGCTCGGGCTGCTCCTCCGCGGCGCCCTCGCTCTTCTCGGGCTCGGCCTTGGGCGCCTCCTCCTTGGCCGCCGCCTTGTCGCCCTCCTTCTCCTCCGCCTTGGCCTCGGCGTCCGCCGCGACCTTGGGCTTCTCCTCCGCGCCCTCCTTGACCTCGGCCGCGTCGGCCGCCGCCTGGGGCTCGCTCTCCTTCGGGGTCCCCTCCTCCTCGGTGCCAGCGCCCTCAGCCTTCTTGTCTTTGTCCTTGGCTTTCTCGTCGTTCACATTGTAGCCCTTCTTCTTCTTGCTCAGCTTGCCTCCCATCTTGGAGTTCTAAAACCAAGCACAAGGCGAGACAGAGGGGTTAAGGCCAAGGAGGCAAACTTGCAGGTGGTCTGGCAGAGCAAGGGGCCCAGCACCTCACCCAACTACACACCGAGAGAGCATCCAAGGGGCCCAGGACCTCACCAACTGCACACCAAGAGACCATCCAGGGGATCCAGAACCTCACCAACTGCACACCGAGAGAGCATCCAAGGGGCCCAGGACCTCACCAACTACACACCAAGAGAGCATCCAAGGGGCCCAGGACCTCACCAACTGCACACTGAGAGACGGTCCAAGGGGCCCAGGACCTCACCAACTGCACACCAAGAGACTGTCCAAGGGGCCCAGGACCTCACCAACTGCACACCGAGAGAGCATCCAAGGGGCCCAGGACCTCACCAACTGCACACTGAGAGACGTCCAAGGGGCCCAGGACCTCACCAACTGCACACTGAGAGACCGTCCAAGGGGCCCAGAACCTCACCAACTGTACACCAAGAGAGCATCCAAGGGGCCCAGGCCGTCACCAACTGCACACGGAGAGAGCATCCAAGGGGTCCAGGACCTCACCAATTGCACACTGAGAGACCGTCCAAGGGGCCCAGGACCTCACCAACTGCATACCAAGAGAGCATCCAAGGGGCCCAGGACGTTACCAACTGCACACGGAGAGAGCATCCAAGGGGCCCAGGACCTTACCAACTGCACACTGAGAGACCGTCCAAGGGGCCCAGGACCTCACCAACTGCATGCCAAGAGACTGTCCAAGGGGACCAGGACCTCACCAACTGTATACCAAGAGGCCATCCAAGGGGCCCAGGACCTCACCAACTGTACACCAAGAGACTGTCCAAGGGGCCCAGGACCTCACCAACTGTACACCAAGAGACCGTCCAAGGGGCCCAGGACCTCACCAAGTGTACACCAAGAGACTGTCCGAGGGGCCCAGGACCTCACCAACTGCACACTGAGAGAGCATCCAAGGGGCCCAGGACCTCACCAACTGTACACCAAGAGACCATCCAAGGGCCCCAGGACATCACCAACTGTACACCAAGAGACTGTCCAAGGGGCCCAGGACCTCACCAACTGCACACCAAGAGACCAACCAAGGAGCCCAGCACCTCACCAACTGCACACCAAGAGACCATCCAAAGGGTCCCGAATCTCACCAGCTGCACACCAAGACAGCACCCTGGTGTCACACACTTTCTACCACAATTAAAAATAGTACAAACAATAAGCAAGGTAAGGTCTCAGCTGCATAGCCTCCTGTGCAGCGAGCTGAGGAACTGGTAAACCCAGATCAAAGAATTGCCGATACTTGCCGACGCGGAGGACAGGTGGCTCAGTATTCTTTTTCTGCCACCTCATGTCACTCAAACATTCACTATTGAACACTGCAACACAAAATGGCAGGATCAGCCATTTTAGGTCTATGGTATAGCTAGTTTAAAAAGAAAAGGAAATTTAAAACACCTTGGATTTTAAAACCCTCTTTCTGGAGAAACCATACAACACAAATCACAAATTTCTAGAAACAGTCTCAAACTGCAAACTAATTTCAAGCCACACTATCCATCCGTATTTATCCATGCACTTATATAATAAGCAAACACACCTCCAAAGACATAGGGTGCTAGAATTCATTTTATTTAGTTTGCTTGTGTGTCTGACTTGTCATTCGCTGCTTTTCAATGTAATTTTGGTTCAAGAATACATATATCCATAGTAAAGTGAAAGTTTCCTGACTAGAATTCAAGCTATATATGCATAGTCAACGAAAGACCATTAACAGAGTTTTCCACTAAAGTTAAATCTTAAACTGTCTTGACTGCTGTTTATGTTGTTAGAAAAAAAAAATGCTGTATTTGAATTTTTCTCCTCTGCTACCGAAGCATGAATTCAAATAAATGTTATGAAGTTGTAAATAAGTTTAATCCAGAACCACACTTTTTCTTTAAGTGAATTTTTATAGCATCATACATCAGTGAAAAGGGACTAGAATGTTTCTCTTTTGAGAAAAATTGGTAGTTTTTTCCTTAATGAAATACAGGCCTTAAAGTGCAGCATTCAGGAGGCAGAGGCAGGTGGATCAGCCTGATCTATATAATGAGTTCCAGACCAGCTAGGGTTACATAGTAAGACCCTGTCTCAAAAAAATAATAATAAATAAATAATAGTCCACTGCCCTTGCTGGTTCCTACAAGAAAAACCATCACAGGAAAAACCATCTGGGGCTCAAGTTTTAAGTAGAGGGTAGAAGCTTCAGGTGAGCTCGCCTGGCTCTGCCTACTCCTGGCAAAACTTTGAGCTCTGCTTACCCAGTGATCTTTCCCACACTTACTATAAGCCATTCAGATCAGAAAATGTGCGATTTATTCACTACACTTCTTGGGATCATGATTCATGATCGTGAAATAACCTACATTTATTTAAAAGTCAGGTGTTGGATAGAGAGTACTATTCTTTAGTCAAAATGTGTCTCACAATTATAAGGTAATTTCTAGAATCACTTTAATAGTTGGAGGGAAAAAAAGAAATAAACAAAAAGATGACTAAAATACTGTTCCTATTTTCAATGAAGATCTTTATTATGTTACCTAAGAATTGCTTACATATTTCTTGAAAATCCTTTCAAGGAAGTGGCTTGGGGTCATAATTCGCTTCCATCAATAGGTATTTTTGTTTAATTTTTGGTAGAAGTGAATATATGTGGCAAAACCACAATGAAATATACTTTTACCACAAAGCAATAAATGAAAGCATAAAGTTGGCCAATATTTTAAATTGCAACTATAACACTTACATCAAATCCTTAATTAGTATGCAGACATTGTTTATATCAAATATGACTTCAGCCTGATACTTCACAGTACACTGGGTTTCTTTAAGAAATAGAAAGCCTGACAGGTCTGCCTCTAGACTCTTCTCCCAAAATTACAGGCTATGAAGCAAAGAGTAAATGCAGTCTACACTGGAGACAAAGTACGGAGTTCTGCGTTCTGACACCCACAGTATGAAATTCTATATAGCAATCCCCAAAGGTTTAAAGTCCTGTTGGTTTACAAACCTAAAATCTAGGTTACTAAAATTGGTTTGCTGAAACAGTTAAAGCCACGATCTATTCTTTGTTAAGGCCAGCTGTGATTCTTTTCTGGGCAGAAAGTGAACATATACAATCAAGATGTAAGACAATGTGTCTCAATGCTGTTGATTTTTCAAACGCAAGGTTAAATAAACACCCCCTGCTTCTAGCTAATTTACCTGTGTGAGCTACAGTCAAATACCAGAAGGAAGCTTGTGGAATGTGCTAGAGCCCCCTCCCAACCCTCAGAAAGCAGACTTGTCTGGTTATTTCCCAAGAGGAGATGAGTGAACACCTACCCTATACCAAGAGGGTAAACTGAAGTTGCAAATTAAATTCTACAGTGTCAGGCACAGTCCTAATCCTAACGATATTATCTAAATTGTTTAATCTTCTTAACAGCACCATTCTGTAGTATCTATTCAGAAGGAACTTCTAACAAGCCTAGTTCATGAACTGGTACAGTAAGATGAAGGCCAAAGCCCAAAGGTATGAGTTAGTACAAAAAAACACCATCGAGAGGGTCAGAAGCTGACCATGCTGACCATGCAGCCCAGCTCCAAGCCCTGGAATGTCACCTTCCTGGATTCTGAGGAGGTACCTCCCGTAATGGCTCAGAACTCTACTTGTTGAGAGGACAGAGAGGAATTTAGTACCTCTGGCACTCTCTGCCCCTTAACTTCCCATTTTCCTATCTGCACATGAAGTTTCTGCCAAATCCTTCAGAAGTGGAAGCAAACAAGAACACGGTCATGGAATAGAACGATTTCTCTCATTTTTATTGCTTCTGTTTTTGAAAGCTATCAGTTAATATAAGTTGGAACACTTAGGTTTAAAAAAATAGATACAGGACATAGGATGCCATGGGAGCAAAAGCATTTGCTACTTGTGATGTTTGGAGCTTGGACTCCTACAACCCGATAAATGCCAGGTGGGTGTGGCAGTCTGCCTGTAATTTCAGCACTGACAAGGTGAAGATGGGGGATGGCCACAGCACACTAGCCTAACCTTATCAGCCAGCTCCGGGTTCAACTGAGAGAGCCTGCCTCACTGAATAAAGTGGTTGCAATTAAGGAAGACTCTGAACACCAGCCTTGGGCATCCCTGTGCAAAAGCACACACCAAAGTGACACTTGACAGGCTAGGCCTATCTTTGAATTTGCTCAGTTAAGATGTCCATTAGCAACTGAGAGAGCACAGGCAGATGATGAACGCATGACCCAAGTTCTGTGTGTTCACATGGAGACAAACACTACAGTTCATCTGAGTTACATCTCTGTGAAAAGCAAGTTCCACAACGGTTTTTTAAAGTGCAAAAGTATTCTCTGTACCATAGACTGACAGCTTGAAAATGCATATAAAATATCATTAGCAATAAACAGCAACAGCATGAAAAATGTCACTGATTTCAATCTGATCAAAAGTGGACAAGATTTATATTAAGGGGAGTTTGGACACTAGGCCACGGTTGACTTAATGAATCCCACTTCCACATCACACTAGCCTCAAATCCTTGAGCAAGTTAATTAACCTTGTCTCTCCATTTCCTTAAAATAACCAATGTCAATTTCATGGGAATTGAATGTGACCCAACACTACAATGTTTGACATTTCATGGCTCTTCAAGAAATGTTGGTTTCTTTCCCCACTGCATTTTACAACTCTCAGCTAATTCTACTCTTATAAACACCAACAGAAGAGCAAAACTTAGGTTCTATGCAGACAAGTTTTAGAAGCAGCCATTAGAAGCACTGTAATTAAAATAATGTTTAGAAAGCAAGCTCTTTTACAATGTCACCCAAAAGATGTTTGATATAGATGCCCCAAGCAAGGTCCTGCTGTGCAAAAGAAGCTTGCAGTTATCTGCTAACATCAAAATCAGTCCTCCTCTCTGATCTGAATACTTCAGGCATATATA